TTTCTTTACATAAAACTCCCTTATCCATGAGTTGCTGTGGATTTGTTTCTCTAAAGTACCTAGACTAATACAGACGGGAAGGAGAGGAAGGCCCTCAATGAGGGGGATTAACACAGTGGCTGTATCAACGGACTCAGGCACAGGAAAAATTGTGATGGTGGTGTAGGACCGTGTATGTTTCCTTCTGTTGTGATGTAAATAGGGTCCCTATGGGTTTAAGCAAACTCGGTGGTGCCTAACAACAATAATAATGTGATCTATGAGCGGATGCAGGGTAGACAAGCAGGCTGAATGGTATGGAATGATGAGTGGTAGTATATCCACACATATATATGCTTGACAGAGGACATGTGAATATGAGTATTTGCCTTTTGCTAAAAATATATCCATGACTGTGGGGAAGCAAGCCTACAGGGAGCAAAAGTATGAAAACTTAGACATAACCAAACACCTTGAGACAATGAGTCCCTGAGCCTGGGCAGCACCATTGTTTCAAGGGACATTAACTTAGACTAAGTGAAAATTACCTATAAAGGAGAAATAATTCGACTATCATCTGCTTTCTCAGCTGAAATCATGCAGGCAAAAAGATAACGCAATGATATATACAAAACTTGAAAGAAAGAAAAATGGCAAGCCAAGAGTTATATATCCAGCAAAATTGTCCCTGAAATGAGATTACAAAGTCATGACAATTCCAGATAAACAGAAATGGAAGGAATTTGTTAAAAAAAACAAACCAACTGACTAATTTTACAAGTAATGCTAAAGGGAGTTTTCAGACTAATAACTGATAACAAGCTGAGATCAACATGCATTCCAACAGCCAGAAGTCAACCAACAGTAGAAGTGTCCAAGGTGAAGCATACCTATAAGACTAAAATTAGGAACCAGGGACAAAAATTGGGGCAAAGACATTGTAAGAAGAGCTAATAGTAAAGTCACAGATCTTCCAAATGGACAGAATGTCAAGTAGATTTACCTTGGGGAAGGGGAAGGCAATATACATTAAGGGAAGTTGACCAAAAATTATGGAGACAGGATAAGACACTAGGAGCAGTGCTAGAATAATAGGCAACAGGTAAATACTGTTATATACATAATCCAATAATGGTGATCTATGAGTAGATGCAAGAATTAGGTACATAGGCTGAATAGATGTGATGGGAAAGTGAGAGTACACCCACAAACACGTAGATTTTATAGGATATTTGTACATAGATATTTACTTTTGTACCAAGCATGTGAATGTGGTGGAGCCTAAAAGGGATGAAGCTGTGAAAATTAATTAGACATAACCACCTTGCAGGGATGAGTGGCTGTGCTGGGAGATCAGGGCCATATTCTCCAGGGACACCGTGTCAATTGGCATAACAGCCCCAAAGACAATAGTCTATGTTCTACTTCAGTGGGTCCTGACTGGGATCTTAAAAGCTGATGAGAAGCCTTCTAAGGTGCAACTTTTCATCTCGTTTTGTCTAAAGGAAATAGATGTGATGAAAATCAAAAGGAAGCGCTGAGTTTGGTGCACTAGTGAACCACGTGAACATCAATGTTCACCCTGGGACCAGAAAAATTAGATGGTGCCCAGCCACCATCACTACTACAAAAGGGGTCATTTTAGAAGATCCTGGATGGAGTGGGTGAAAAACGTACACTAAAACCCTAAATTCAAGGAAATATCAAGTTTGCTGGTCAGATGCTGTAGGGATCCTGGAGAGGATGGCCCTTGGCACACTTCAGGTCAGGAACTGATCTCATCCCCATTGGCTCAATTTTCAGCCAAAGTATGGGCAGGTCTATAAAGAGAACAATTTAACACTAGTGAGGGACACTCACCTGAAACCTCTCTGACCATGGACCAGCGATGTGAATAGCCTGATATGTTACCGTGCAGAATGCATAGGAAAGTGGATTGTTGCAGATGCAGCTAGATTAACATTCAGCACCTTGTTATACGATCTTCCTTATGGTCCATTTTACTTTTTTCTAGTTTTTAATATTGTCTGCTTTCTTTTAAATTGAGGTTTTTATCTGTTTTATTTTGTTATTGTTGTTAATTTTTTGGTTTGAGAAAAATGTTTTTTTCTGTTCTGAAATCCAGGATAGTTAAATCTATAGAGATGATAAATGGATTAATGGTTCCTTGGGGTATGGCAGGGGATTGGGGAGCCCATGGGGATCTAATAACGATGAGTACAGGATTGAAGAAAATGTCCTAAAACGGATTGTGTTGAGATGCTTAAACATTCACTGACTTGGCTTTCCTCCTGCAGTCAGCATCATTGCATCTGTTTTGTAAGATGGAGGAGGACTTTGTGGATGGGTATTGGACATAGGGGTTAATGGGTTAATGTTGGATTTATGGGTTTGGACAGCACTGGGTTGGGATGTTTTCTTGATGCTCACTTAACCTTTATATAAAACTCTCTCTTCTTATACATGAGTTTCTGTGGATTTGTTTCTCTAAAGTACCCAGACTAATACAGACATCAAGCTTGGAAAAGTAGAAGCAGCACACAAGAGGAAGACCCTCCACAAGCAGGATCAGTTCTGTGGCTGCAGCGGTGGGCTGGAACATGGGAAGAGCTGTGGGGCTGGTGCAGGAGTGGGTGGTGTTTCATTCTGGTGCACAGAGGGTCGCTATGTATAGGAGCCGACTCCACAGCAATCTCACAAAAACAATGTATTGTGCAGTGAAGAAACTCCAGGATCTCTGTATGGTCATTAGTTGAATATTAAGCTGTGCAGGTACTGTGGGGTGAGGGGGTACTTCATAAAGACAGGAAAAAAGTAAACAACCAGTGGACTATGAGCTGAAAATTACCGATGTGCAGACAGGCTAGGAACCTCTGTGGCTACAGGCAGCCAAAGTGGAGAGACATCATTGAGAACCACAAATGGTCGGAAGGGCACTAGCTAACTTCAAAAGACACTAACTTCTTAGCCTGATCGGGATGATCCAATCAAGGCCAATGTACTACTGTTAACAATGGTGGAATGATAAAAAAACTACTCTCCGCAGAGAAGAAAACAAGCTTGGAGGACAGGTAGACGTAATTTAAAAGACAAATCCAAGAACTACTTCCCATAGCTAGTAACAAGTTTATGGAATTCGTCATGCTTGAGTTGTGGTAAAAGATGGACACTGGTTTAATAAACTTTTAATGAGGTCAAATAACAATGAAATTTGAGGTCTATGGGTTGAGTCTGATGCGCTTCAGTTGAAAAATTGGGAAGTTTTTGTACCACCAGTACACTGGGTATGACTGATGGCTGAAATGGTACCTCGTCCCTATGTATCTTGCACTGATATCTTACCTGTGGTAGACATCTTCACTTCATGCTCCTTTATTGGACAGCTAGCACCATGGAAATTCTTTCAGATTAATATGTTCAAAATGAAATAAATGACATTAAAACAGGAAATCGAGGTTTCGACCTAAGAAGGTGATGGTTCTGTGTCATCACCAATCCTCTGAGCATGACAATACTGGTGACTCATATCCAGGGGCTAAATTAAACTCCTAATTCAAACTGGAAATCAATGCATAATCTAAAATATGGCCACTGAGTTTTTAACAGATCATTTTCATGACACCTCATCCTCTAAAATAAATATTAGAAATCTTCCCAACGGTCTGATTCCATGGCTTAAAAACACATATGATATACTGGTGGGTACTGGCTACTGACCCATGAACACAAGACCCCTAATTATTTTGGACCATAACCTCCAGAGTGTCAAAGGTGAGAGAAAGTAAAGAAGGGGTTGCCAGCCTACCATGTTCAAAACAGTATCTAACTTTCCCAGTCAAAACAAAGGGAACTATAGATACAAGATGTTGCGGCGGCTGCTAACCAAAGGTGCCCTGTGCAACTCTCATTTCAAATCTTCGCATTTTGCAACCCTAGTTAAAGTGCAGCAGCATCACTAGACCACCTGAAGCCCGAGTACAAAAACAGGATAAAGCTGTGACTTCCTCCATAAGAGATGAGCTATTTCAGGGCAGTCTATGCCAACACCTGTAATATATTCATACTTTCATGGTTCTGTGGGTAATTATTTGAAAATATCAGAAAGAAATACATACAGGACTAACGATGAACAAATTTTTCTGTAAAGAATTTCGAGACTCGGTAATTTTCTTGGAGCGGACATTTTTCTTCCATACATTAAAAGCCTTCCATTTCCGGAAAAGTGAGAATATTGGAATCTTCTTCAGTTCTCTGTGATACAGATATTCCTGTTCCCATCGATTGAGTTCAATATACTCAATGTCTTCATTGTAAATGTGTGTCACTGCACTTTTGCTAATAGTATAGTAGTCGTTTTTATTGATGTTCTCATAACTTACAATTCTGTGAATAAATGAAAATTGGGACAAATATGCCATACAAAATTAAACAATTGCGTTACTTTTTTTGTTTTAAAGAGACAAAACATTCCTAGAAAAAAGCATTATTTAATTTTTTTTATTACAATGAACTATTTCCAGGTTGAACAAACTACTCAAGAGGTGAGTAGAGTTGTTTTTAAACCATAGTTGGACTTATGGCTATCGTTCTTAAAGTTTTCATAATGATAGTAATATGCTCGATATATAGTTATATAATTTTCACAGTAAAATAAATTGACTATAAATTTTTAAACATCATTGCCTTATATGAAAACCAAATAAACAAGATCTCTTCCATCTAATCTAGTCCCACTTACTGCAACTGTACAGGATACAGTAGAACTGTCCTGTTTCTGAGATAGTAAATTTTTATGGGAATATAAAGTCACTACACCACCAGGGTTCCCTGCCCTATAGGAGAGCTACCTCGAAATAAAATTTTTATTACTCACAACTCTAGAAACTATTTGGCATTAATAATGCAAAAGCATTTATGTTATACAGTATTGACAGAATTATGATATGAAGAGACAATCAAGAAAACTGTCCTACATAAGATTTTGAATCAAGACACAGCAAAGCCAAAGTATATGTACAACTTATCACATAGAAAATAATGATTGGGAAGTTGTTTAGCTCAAGATTTCCTGCTTTAAACTGTCAGCAAGTGAATTCTTCAACCATATAAGTTACAAGAAATCGTTCAAGTAAAGAAGAAAAGCAATATGGGAGGGAGGGGGACTAGCAGAAGAAACTGTAATAAGATTAGAAAGGCGGATTCCCTAAAACTTAAATTGGACCTTACCTTTCTGTGATTTTAGCTATCACATTGAACTAGTGTATGGGATTTAGATATTTTCTGTGATTTTAGCCAAACATTTAAATACTGTATGGACTTTAAAAGCTTGATAAAATATATTTCGAATTTAAAAATAAACCATGTAACAGGGTTTTGAATTGGTTCCTTCTGGTTCAACCCCCCCCTGCTGAGAACTTTTATTTCCACCTCAGAAATACTGAACCAAAATCTATATTTCAACAAGATCCCTTATTTGAATCTGTTTTATAAAGATACTATGGAACTTTAGAATAATAAAATATAAGTGTAAAGGCAAAAACAAAACCATCAATCGTTTATATGTTAAAATATATAAGAAATACATGTCCAAGAGGAAGACTGGAGAGAAACATTGTCAATTCAATGCAATGAAAATCAACTGCTTCTCATTCAACAGTCTTGTCTAGTCCTGTAGTCTGCACTCTCGGGGAAGCCTGTGCCCTTGGGATGACTTTAGGCCATCTTTGAAATGGCTGTATGTAAAAACAGAAGAAGAAGAGAAAAGAAAAAGAAAAAAAGCTAAGTGATCCATTTTGAAGAAATTTTGACAGAATTCGCATATACTTTGTGCCTGTTAACCAAAAGACTAATAAAAATCCTTGGCAAAAACCATTAAAATTTTTAAATTTATACTTTTGTAAAACTAATTAATAAAAATATGTATTTTTAAATTGTCATGTTACTGTTAGCTGTTGTGTTGACTCCCATTCATGACAAGCGAATATAAAGCAGAAAGAAGCGGGGAAATAGATCTATGAGCCTACATTTATAGGTTTAGTATTAAGGTAGCAGAAGGACATTGGGCCTCCACTCAAGTACTCCCTCAACACAAG